TCTCACGGGACCGACCATCAGAGGGGTGGGGGAGAGGATCTGGGACTACCTGCTAGAATCACTCGGAGTTGTGATTCTCAACGTAATAGAGATTGTGTTGTGTTAGATCGCGTAAATATATAAATGTGGCGTTAAAACCCGTCATGTTATGTTTACGTGATAACCATGACTAGTTGGTTGTGTCGGGTGGTGGCGGGTTTTAACGGCACCAAGGCCGTAATTATAATATATATTGGGGGTGACACATCCCCCCCGATATTCAAATATGCTCAAAATGCCCCCCCCCCCCCCCCAATATATTGCTATAAAAAATGTTTGCTATGCTATGTAAATAAAAATAACAATTTGCTAAACCTTGGCCACAATATCTTGACTTGTCCTCATATAAATCAATGCATAGATTTCTGTTGATATGATTGTGGTTATGGTTGTACTTTATTAATCCCTAATCTCTGCCATTACATACAGTGAAACAAGAAATGTAATACAATACACTATTAGACATTGTCAAAAATAATTAAAACGTCCATCCCCCAGACATTCTGGATGATTTGGTCACCCGCAATGTTGACTCCATGGCTACGGCCTTGAACGACACATTTATATATTTACGCGATCCAACCCAAGAAAACCTCTATTATGGATGCTATTGGTCGCGAAAGCCCACGTGTTAAACTGACTATCTTTGTCTTCATCATCACCCATCTCGGCCCTCTCCCACCTCCTCCTGATCCTCTTGCCCCCCCCCCCCCCCCCCCACGGGCGCCGCTCATTTTTTTCTCCCCGCCGCTCATCCTGGACTGCATGTATGTTGAACTTCTTTCGCACCATACGTGGCCAACCGTGCTACGTAGCCAACCGTGCTAATCGGAAGTGCGGGGGAAGGACAACGAAGTAAAACACAAAGAGCAGTTCTAAATAAATGAGTTTAAAAGTGCATCGCTGCAGTGGCCTCCTAGCATCGCGAGCAAGAGCGTTCCAGAAGCGCAACTGGAAGCGCCGTGCGATGCGGTGCCCCACGTCGTTGTTCGATGGCCGAGCCCAAAAAACAACAAACACCGCTGCCGTGTGCGAGGATGAGCCGAGTTTATGCTCCTCGACGAGAGCAGCGAGGGTGCCGTGGTTCATTTGCGGCAAACACTTTGGTGTGCATTTTGAGTCGTGATCTTCTACTCGCTCCTCCTCCATCCTCCTCCTTCTCGCCGTCCGTCTTGGCGACTACCATCACGGCATCCCTTCCCTTCCCCCCGCTCATCTTGTAACCCCTCTCAGCTTCTCGTCTTCCCTGTCACATCTCTCTCTCTTATCCCACGCACTAACATCCTTGACTTTAGTCCCCCCCCCGCGCCCCCCACTTGTCGTGGCGCTGTGCCACGGTTACAAACGTTTCTGAATGTTTAAAGTACCTGTGCACGCAGACCCCCCCCCCCACCCCCACCCCGTAGAACGCCGATTCGTTATAAGCGCTCTTTGTCCTGGAGAATGTTTTGTTGTCGTCGTTTACGAGCAAAGACGTTCAATCAAAATATCTACAAAGCGCTTACGACGAATAGCACGTGGTAACGCCACAACCCATCGTTCGCTCAGCCAATGGAGATCCGAGCAGACCCATACCCCCACTCGATTCGATTATCACGAATTGGTCGTCGCGATTGAAGTTGTTTAAAAAAAAATGTAATCCATCATTTTGTGCTTCGATGTTCAATGTTATTACGGAGAGTTTGCGCCACGTGATAGCTCACGAGACCCGGGGTCCCGCACCTCCGATTAGCACGATTGGCTACGCACGGTGCAAAAGAAGTTGAACATACATATTTCGACTTAAAGCTTTCGTGACTGCAGGGATTCATCTTCTTGGTTCTTTTGGTAAAGTCACGTAGAAGGGAAATAATAAAATAATAAAAATAAAACATAATAAAATCATATTCTCACGACGTTTCGGCCACAACGCAAGCAGCCGTCCTCAGGTGAAGAACAGGTCTGTCGGAAAGACAGCTGCTTGCGTTGTGGCCGAAACGTCGTGAGCATTTTATTTTATTATGTTTTATTTTTATTATTTCCCTTCTACGTGACTTTACCGAAAGAACCAAGAAGGTTCAACATACATACTTACATGCACAGCTGTAAACCTATTATCAGTGCCCTACCTTATCACAGACCAATTCAGATCCCTATTGGTCACCTCATGCCCTGAGAAATCTCGGCGTGCATCCGACAAATTCCCATCATCACAAGGAAGAACAACAAACAAATAGACAAACAAAAATAAAGCTCAGTTTCCCTGTACAAGAACACGGATACACGGTATGGGTTGACAGGTATGTACATGCATCGAAGGATAAGTATCTCCAAGAACCATTCGATGATTGGAATACTAGACTGATTTTATTTATTAAACGACCCATAACGTACATACATCGAACCGAGTACAATAATCGATTTTTTTGCAACCGTGTGTGCTGTACAATGCGTATTCACGTGAGTGGCTAACCCCTTCCAGCCACTGGAGGCCGCTATATATACTGGATATAACCCCGCAATGTTTAACAAAACAATTGATAATATATTTGAATTTCGATGGGAGCGAATCGTTACGCACCAATAATTCGTTTTCCATGGGAACAGTTTTGCATTTAAATAGTCAAACTAATGTACAGCAAGAAATTAACACGACGATCCACTGCTGGATGAAAGCCTCCCCGCGCCGTCTCGAGTCATGGAAAAGATTTTTTGACCATACTTCAACACGCTGGTCAGTGCAGTTTAGTGAATGCGGAGAGCATAGACGTGAGAGGTTGGTACAGTACAACTGATTTTGCTGCGCTGTACTCAACGCAAGCCGCAGCAGCCTATGCCACCTGTGATGCATCACATTCACCACCTCCAGCGGGCCGCCAGTGCGAGTTGGTGAAAGGGGATAGCGGTGGGGGCGGGGGGGGGGCAGAACCGATTCCACCAGACATCATTCGCCACTGACGTCATAGCCGTGGCCTGGAATCGAACTCATATTGCCGGGGGATCAGTGACCAAGTGCGTCCAACCACCTATGAAGGCCGGCACGCCACACGAGGCAGTGTGTGGCCAACGCCACCGCACGGCCGCTTTTGTCTCCCGAGTAAGGCGATGTTAACACGTCGCAACCACGTGCCGTCATCACTTGAGTCTACCTCGGGGAGGCGAAGGGCCGGGTCAGATGATCGCCACTGACGTTGGGCCGTGAGCGGGAATCGAATTCGGGGGTGGCCTGATTCGTAGCGCAGCGAGCCTCAAATGAGTAGCTGGTGCGGTGTGTAAACAATCGCACCTGGGGAGACAAAGGCGGCCGGGCGCGGTGCTGGCCACCCACCCCCTCGTGTAGCGCTTGCCCCGACACTCTTTGGAGGCTATCAGGGGGACCTTTGTCTTCGAGACGGGCACCTGCAGTGCCACTCGGGAGGGTCGCCAATCAACCAGAAGACCCGAGCGGCGATGGCGGTGATGTGACTATGAATGTGGATGTGAAACCCACGCGCACTTCACGGAAAACAAAAAAAATCAGGAAGTCCTAAAGGCAGATGGCGGTGGAGATGAGTCTGTAAAAGTTCATCTCGAACATCACGTGTCCACTTTGCAGAAGGACGCAGTGGCATCAGCAGCAAATGACCGCGGCGATGACCCCATTGGGCTTAATGAGTCTGGGGGCATGGGGTTAAGGAGTTACGAAAGTTAAGTTAATTATCGAGTTCTTTATTTGTCTATCCAGAAGGGCCATACTGAGTCGTACGACCCTTTTTCAAGAGCATCCTGCATTGGGCTCTCATTCTAAAATATTTACAGCCAATTAATGACGAGGTGCGCTCATGATTATTCTTATACAACGCTTCATCCCGGTACTGATGGAAACAGATGGCGATTAGTCCACTTGCTGTACTGCCTTCTCGTGGCAGAGCCAGGAGTATACCGCAAATCTTCGATGCCTCCGGGGGAAGGGAGTTTCGCAACATCTGCGCGTGATCCACTAACCCTCGCTGCTACCTCCACGGCGCTGCATTACAGGCAGCCGCGTGCAGCAGCGTAGCCACCACCGCCCGCGTAGGGGTTTGTGCTGCACAGTTCCTGAAGTGGCTCCCAGCACGCGCGGCGAAACGTCGGACGTCACGCCGAGCAACACGCGGCACGAGCCGAACCCACATCGGCGAGCTGTGTATTGTTGTAGGTACGAAGCCAGCGCCCCAGATTCGATTTCCGCTCACGGCCAACACCAGTGACGATTATCTGAACCTATCCTGGGCCTCCCCCTAGGTCGACTCAGCCTCCAGCGAGTAGCTGGTGCGGTGCGTGAACATCCCCACTGGGGAGACAAAGGCGGCCGGGCGTGTTGTTGGCCACCCACCCCCTCGTGTGTTACGCCGGCCTTCATCGGTGCTCGCTAATAGCACTTGCCCCGAAGAGTCTGTTAAGGCTACGCAGGGGATCTTTGCCTCTGTGTGGGATGGGTGGTGTGGAAGTCTGCACCACACCTGCTCGCACTCCCACGTGGCGCGCCTCCGCAAGGTCACCTGGTGCACACGCAAACAAGACAGGGGCAAAGATCCCCCGTGTAGCCTAAACAGGCCGTTGGGGCAAGTGCAGTTAGCGAGTGCCTTCTCGAAGGCCAGCGCGACACACCGAGGGGGTGCTTGTGGCCAGCGGCTCCGCGCAGCCGTCTTTGTCTCTCCGAGTGGCGATGCTTCCGCACCGCACCAGGCACTCACTCAAGGGCCGAGTGCGGACATCAGGAGTGACATCAGCACCGGTCTCGGACTCTCTTCAGCCCGATTCAACTACCCGGTACCAGCTCTGGATTTCCCCTCGATCCTCTCGGCCCTATTCAACTACCCGGTGCACTGCGTAAACATCGGCGTTGGGGGAGACAAAGAGAGCCGGCTCACCACACCAACCCCGCCGTGCACCGGGCTGCTCTGTATAGGAGGTGCTCGCGGACAACATTTGACCCCCCCCCCCCCCCCCCCCCCCCCCCAATAGTCGACAAAGATAATCCACGGGTTATCTTTGTCCTGGTTGTGTATTAAACGTCACCCCCTTCACCCCCCCCCCCCAGCGGCCACAGCTCTCAAACCACGTCGCGCGGAGCGACTCATTCGAGGATGGCCTCGTAAATGGAATCGTCGAGGTCGGGGCGAGCCGTGGGGGCGACCTCGCTGGGACGTCCACGCCGAGGCGCTGGGGACCTCGACTTGTCCACGGTGGCGTACAGGTCGCCCGTGTCTGCCGCCACCTGCAGAAGCGAGCGAGAGAGAGGGAGCGCCGCGGGGGCCTTCGTTAAACAAAACAAAGAGACGCGATTGGTGCGCGCAGCTGCGAAGCGCTTCGGGTGCGCGCAGCTGATAGAAGCGCAGCCGGGGCATGCCGCAGGTGACGCGCTTCACCTTTGGGACGGGCGTCTTGCGGGAGGCCCTGTCCTGAACCGGGTTGACCTTCACTGAACCCTCCCCTGACTTCACTCCTGACCCCACCGCTGACCCCGCCGGCGCTGGCCCTTGCCGCTTGAGCACCGTGGCGTAGAGCTCCGTCGGGGCGGTGGCGGCGGTGGAGGGAACTCCGGGGGCCGAGAACTCATCCACTGACTGGTACAAGGAGTTGTCCATCATCACGGCGTCGCTGTCACAGCCGCCTTTGTCTTTATTGTTATCGCCATTGTCGGGGAGCGGCATCTGTGGGGCCACGCGGGCGCGGGGAATATGGATCGTGGCGCTGGACGCAGAGTCACGCCGGGACGAGGCGTCGTCTGAACAGAGACACCGGAGAAAAATAAAATATTTTAAATGTATTTTTAGTTTAAATTTTGATTTAAAGCTTTCGTGACTGCAGGGATTCATCTTCTTTGTTCTTTCGGTAAAGTCACGTAGAAGGGAAGTAATAATTTTTTTATTTTTAGTTTTATTTTATTTTTAGTTTGTTGCTGCTATTTGATGTTGTTGTTGTTGTTGTGGTGATCGCACCCACAACGCCGAGCGAGCAGCAGTAGGCAGCGCTCTTTGAAGGAACGATAGATAATAAGAGTGCAACACGTTTCTTGAATCGAGAAAGGTTATGGATAAGAACATTAGGAGGGTGGGCGGGGGGGGGATAGAGACAATGATGGGGGGGAGGGGAGGGGATGCCAGTGTAGAGCGGTCCAGTGTGATGGAAGCGGCGGAAAGAGAGGCGAGGTGACCTGCAGTTAGAGCCCTGGGCTACGAACCTGGAGACCCGAGTTCGATTCTCGCTCATGGCCAACACCAGAGACGATTATCCTGGGCATCTCCCAGGTCGACTCAGCCTCAAATGAGTGCCTGGTGCGGTGTGTAAGCTTCGCTACTGGGGGAGACAAAGGTGATCGGGCGTGGTGCTGGCCACTGACCCCCTCCTTGTACCCTTCCGGCCTTCGTAGGTTCTCGCTAACAGCACTTGCCCCTACAGTCTGTTAAAGGCTATACGGGAGATCTTTGTCTCGGGTTTTTGTTTGAACATAGCGCGGGGGTGAGACGGGCGCAGTCAACCGAGTCTTCAACACGGCTAGGAGAACCAATGAGTGAAGTTCAACCACTGGATTCGAGTGTCCAACCACCACGCACACGATTCAATTGCATCGCAGGGCGCTCGAAAATAAAACTCAACAGTCGACAGCAACCAACGGCAACAACAACGACAGCAACCAGTTGATGCGAGGCGTTGTACCCAACACGTGGCCTGGGTGGCACCTGCCTCCGCGCGATTGCTTACTGAGTGTGCAGAGCGCAGCTTCGTACGGCTCTGGGCAGGAAGCAATAGTTAGCAATCGATGATGGAGGAGGGGACGTAGATTTCTTTCACCAGATTTGCCACTGTGGCCGCGTGGTGCGGGCTGATTACGCGTTAATCTGCTCAAGGGGTGGGGGGGGGGCTTGTCCCCCCCCCCCCCGCTTCTACTTCTCCTACTCCTCCACAGTTGCCGTTGTTTTCTCTGAGTCACGTCCCAAGTGTGGGGAACGCATACCTGCTAACCCCATACCGGTGCCCTACCTTATTCCAGACCAATTCAGACCTTATTGGTAACCCCGCGCCCCTTATAAATATCAACGTTCAGCCCACAAAGTCCCATCACAAGGGGGAGAAACACAAACAAAATAGACAAAAAAAATGCTGCCCGTATTGAAACGCTTGTACGCCGTGTGGACCTGAAAAACTCAATTTCCCTGTACAAGAATACGGGGTAAACCGTATGAGGTGACAGCAATGGGAGCGGTGGCGCAGTGGTTTAAGAGCACGTGTGCGCTTCAAAAGCACGGTCGTAGCGACCCGATTTCGATTCACGGTCACGGCGAACATTAGTGGCGAGTGATATTAAACCAAGCTTTAAAAAACGAAACTATTTTAATTTTAGCAGGTGAGGCCCCACTGAGCTACATAGCTTTTTTTTCAATTAAAGAAGCTACCTGGCCACAAGTGGTAGCCGAACGAAGTGGCTTATCGCGTAGAATTGTGTAGCAGCCACATACTCGAAACGCAGCGTTGATTCTAAATGTGGAGGTGAAAAATTAGAGGACCCGGAGAAAAAGTACACGCGACCACGGGGAGAACATACAAACTCAAAATATACAGGCGTCAGGGTCGGGATTGAACCCACGACTTCCTGCATGCCAGGTGAGGGATTTAACATCTCGCTACCGTGAACATCGCCGGCAAGTGATGTGTCAACGGATACCCCCTCCCCATTCCCCCCTCCCCGCCCCCCATTTATCAACCAGCACTGACCAGCGTGGTGAAGTATGGTCAAACAACCCACATGAACGACACGGTGTGGGGAGGCCCTCATCCAGCAGTGGATTGACATGTTACACCGCCACACCTGCCCAATTTAATACTGGGGGCTTCTCAAACTCCACCCGTTTGCCCGGCGCTGGTGGCTATGCACGCCTACAATCGAGCGCCTTGGGGGCGAGGGGTTAGTGGATCACACGCACACACACAGAGGTGTCGTTGAACTCCCTAACCGTGGGTGTCAAGGTCGTAGTCATCTCTTGGCTTGCCAGGGTACGGCAGTACAGCAAGTGGATTGATGGCCATCTCTACATGGATTTAATATGGGGGTTTTTCCCCCCGTGCGTATTGAATTTGACCAAACATCCAGATGTAGGACCGCAGATCTTGGGGAATTGTTGCATCGGTTAAAATTAAGTGTTTCTTTTTTGACTAGCAGGGAGCCAGGTAAAGGTGCGGCCCTGCTATTGCTTCCTCAAGCCACTGCTGGCGGAAGAGCCTCCGAATAGCACGGTTGGCTACATACGGTGCGAACACAAAAGTTAGTTTCAACCGAATACCTCCCTTGCATCTCAAACGATGCAATGGCCAGCTGTAGTGTTTATAGATCTTTGTTTAGCCCATGGGACCCCCTGTTAACAGCTGTCCCTGCACGGCACAAGCTACAACGCAGGCACTGCCCTGCGAGTGCGCATTGCCAGTTTGTCAATAGGGGGGGGGGGCGACGTTGGAATCTTTGCGATTTCTTATTTCAATTAAGTAATTCGTTAAGACTCACCCGTGGTTTGATGTGAAAAGATGCCCTCGGGGTTCCCGCCCCCCTCTTCCAGCCGATCCCCCTGTGAGAGGGTGGGGGTAGGAGGGGGGGGGACGTGGGGGGAGGGGGGGTGTGAAGCTGGGTGAACTGTCACCGTCTCACGCATTTGGCGTGAGACTCACTCTTGCGGGAAGCCCACGGCGCTCCATTGTAATGCGGAGAGGATTAACCACCGCCACCGGTGCTCGCTCCAAGGCGCAACTTTGCCCCAGCAGTCTGTTCAGCTGACGCCGATGGATCGTTGCCTGCGCGTGTTTTACGACTGAATGCGGTGCCTAATGAGACCAACGATGAATAATGCATCGGGCAGGCCCATCCGTGCCGGTGTGTTTGTTTATGGGTTACGAGGTTAAATGTCCCGGCTCCGTGAGCCACGCATCAGCTTTTACACTCCGTCTCCGTTACCATTTAGGGTTCTTGAGCTGTGACTTCATTAGCTCTGTCAGACCCCCCCCCTCGGGTCGGGCGAGGGAGGGGAGGGGGGCACAATATCTCGCGGCGAAGATCCAACATGGACAGGGGGGGGGGTCGGCAAACCAAAATAACAAGACGACACATTTTTTTCATCGAATTCGGGAAAATTATAAAACAACAAAAATCTTATAAATGGGATGAACGTCACGGAGCAGTCGTTAAAAGAGCCGCATGCGGCTACGGTAGCCGCGGGTTGCCGACCCCCTGGGCTAATAGGCAAAGGAGGATGATGATGATGATGGTGATGACTGGAACCCGCAGCATCTCACCTGGAATGTATTGTATGCCTTTGGGAAGATCCTGCAGGGAGAGAGAGAGAGAGAAAGAGATAGAGAGAGAGACATTCTTGACTCGACACACCAACAACAACAATGCGCGACCTCGCTCCTCCAGCTCACGATGGCAGAATTCAAAGTTTGATTCCCGGCCGCGGCTAATGACCCGTGGCATTCAAGCAAGGTGTGACCTCGATTGCTACTTAGCCCGTGATTTTCCTTGCGGGCCTTTGGGCCTCCGCTCAGCAAATGCGATAAATTGAACAACAACTAGAAATCGAATTTTTCTCTATTTCTGCAACGTAACCGTATATTTTTCGTTTTACCCCGGGTCTCTCAATGAATGAGACCGTTAGCCCCGATGTAGGGTACGTCGACCATCTCATCGCACCGTGCGGAGCCGACCGTGCTAAGCGGAGTTGCGAAGCCGAACCGAGAACGGACCATGAATTAAAGAAGTGACCTCTGGATTTCGCTTTGACCTCCTGCGAGGGTTTCCGCCACCGCACGCGAGGGGGCGGTGTGGTCCGCACAACGCCGCGCGTCTCCCAGCAGGGCTGGCGAATTCACACCCCCAACCCGCCTCTCTCTCTCCCAGCCACCCCCACCACGACTGGACGGAACCTCCTCATTAAGGGGATACTTCTCATGATTATTCACGCAGCGCGCATAATGAGCTTCGTGGAGGCTCCAGCGAGGCATTTTATGGCAAATGTGCTTGGTTTTGCTCCACTTCCACACAGATATATCCGGACGCTGGAGGGCAGCTGCACTTGCAGTGGTTTTGGCGCAAACCTCCGATTCGCAACAGCTCGCGACGTACGGTGCGAAAGAATTTCAACAGACACACACACATACAGATCATTGCTGACGCCCCACTCCCACAACACCAGACCCCTGCTGAAATGTTATTATATTATTTTATGATGATGTTATAATGGCTATCCTTTTAATTACCCAGCTACAGACTCACTGAGCGGTGAGGCCCTTTTCAGGAGGGTACTGCCACATTGAGATGTTTGACCAATGAATATGATCAGCCCGAGACTAAAAGAACATCAGAGAAATATTAAATTCTCCCAAATGCAACCGTCAGCAGTAGCAGAACACGCATGCCAACAAGGACACTCAATTGATTTGGATAATGTTGAAGTGTTGTGCAAAACTAGCTGCTACTGGCCAAGACTAATGAGAGAATCTATCGAAATTGAAAGAAATCAAAATAACTTTAACCGTTCGGATAGCTACCGCCTTAGTGCTGCGTGGAGGCGAATCATCAAATAATACATTATTTACATGCATGCCTACAAACGGCAGACTACTTCAATAGGGATTACCGTTGACAGGGCTATTTTAATAAACACAATAGACAGAAAGGACATGTTCAAAGGGCTCGCATAATGTACAATGTACGTTGCCTCAGTAATGCTCCCCCACCCCCCCCCCCCCCACATTGTGCAAGAGCGCAGAAGCGTGGTAACCACATCTCCGCCCATTAATAAGGAACGAAACAGGAGGACTTATCCACAAATCTGGCTGTCGCCTGATGAAGCTAGTTGTTATTACTGGCGAAACGTCGTACTCAGTTTGTAAATGTTGTGGCTTGGCTCTCCAACAGGGGCGGTTTCTTCATTAGGGCGATTGGGCGACGCACCACCAATGTCATTGAACCACAGAGTCACGCTATCCGTCACTGTCAGCCTCTGGATATAGTCCAATCAGCGTCATGTCACGTTTTGTGGAGTACCGCCTCTTTTTGGGCGATTTCACTCCGGCTGAGAATCGCCCCGAGTGGCCCCATAGACTTACATTCAAAGATGTTTTTTTTCGAACGGGGGCGCTCCAATGCATTCTCTATGGCTTCCGGGAGGGCATGCACTAACGTGCATACGTCATCATACGTGCTAACGTCATTATACGTAAGCACGTTTCATCCAACAATATAATTTATCGCCACCTAGTGGAATCTTCTTCTTGGTTCTTTCGGTAAAGTCACGTAGAAGGGAAGTAATAAAATAATAAAAATAAAACATAATAAAATAATTCTCACGACGTTTCGGCCACAGCGCAAGTTATTCTCACGACGTTTCGGCCACAACGTTCCACTCACTGGCATGGTGCAGTGTGCAGAGTAATGTATGGTGTCGTAATTGTATAGTAAATATATAGCAGTGTGATACACATTAGGGTGGGTAGAATAATACATAGTGTTAAATTAAAATGGATAATGCAGCAAATGCAGCAGCAGCAGCAACTGCAGCAGCAGCAGCAACTGCAGCAGCAGCAACTGCAGCAGCAGCAGCAACTGCAGCAGCAGCAGCAACTGCAGCTCCCTTTGATGCTGTTAATCCTGCATAATGCACATGCATATGCAGTACTAATCACATTCCTGCATTTCCCATAATATGCTAAAATCCTCTTGATATGCAAATTCCTTTGTCAAGGCGCCCAGCTTATATATATGCTCCAAGCTCGTGTGCTGTTTCATTCAGACTCTGTCGCCTCGACGGACCTGGTTTTCACCTGAGGACGGCTGCTTGCGTTGTGGCCGAAGCGTCGTGAGAATAATTTTATTATGTTTTATTTTTATTATTTTATTACTTCCCTTCTACGTGACTTAATCGAAAGAACCAAGAAGATGAATCCCTGCAGTCACGAAAGTTTAAAATCAAAATCTAGTGGAATCTTTAATAAAATAAACTTGAGTGGTTTGTTTTAATAGTGAGTATAGAAACAAACAAGATGTATTGTAAGAGTCACTTTATTTTTCATTAATATTAAAGAAGTGAAGTTGCCTTTACATGCTTAAGCTGTTAATTTATCCATTGCATGGGTGGACCTTATCCTTATCAATCATCCAGACATTTGCCCCCCTGAGAGATTTTGCAGGAGCCGCCACTGCTCTCCAACACACCGGTGTGCTGTACTAGTGACGAATTGGCCACGTTCTGTTTACGTGACAACCCTTACTAGTTGGCTGTATCGGGTGGTGGCGGGTTTTAACGACACATTTATATATTTACGCGATCTAACCCAAAAACTCTCTGATGAAATTTGTTTTTGTATAATTGGGAGTTTGTTTTTGTATAATTGGGAGTGATATTTATTTTTAATTTTGTTCCAAGAGTCCAGCGTAGGAAGAAAACCCACACGCAAGCGAGGAGATAACACTCAAATGTCAGCACAGATAGATTTAAGAATTCCGTTGCTATCTATGCCCATGTTTTGCCCACCATGTTTTCCGCATGTCCTAAAATAACACGCACGCACACGGAATCTCTCTCGCGCGCACACACACACAACACAGACAAAGGTCCCCCGTATAACCTTTATAACGGACTGTTGGGGCAAGTGCCGTTAGCGAGCACCTATGACGGCCGGCACGGCACACGAAGAGGGTGGGTGGCCAGCACCACGCCCGGCCGCCTTTGTCTTCCCAATGCCGATGTTTACGCACTGCAGCAGCTACCGGTTTCAGGGGAAACCCAGGATCGGTTCAGATGTTCGTCACTGCTGTTAATTGGTCGTGAGCAGGAATTGAACTCGACTCGCCGGGTTCGTAGCGCAGCGCGCTAACCACTGTGCCACCGCTCCCCAGACGTACGCACACACTCATACGCACACACACTAACATACTGCCACATACACACACCAACATAAATACACTCTCTCACATACATACACACTCTATATCGCACACACGCACTCTCTCACCACACAGCAAAGACCGTCAACATTCACCGCGAAGTGGCTGCCGGCGACGTCACCACGGCGCTTGTGCCAGGCTAGGTGCACTCTGAGGCTATCACGTGAAGTGTGGAAAACCTCGCCGTTGCAGGTCACGGGACAGACCCAGGTGTTATGAGTTGACTGAGTCACGCACTTGCGCGCGCACGCGCACACACACACTCGCTGTCTCTCACACACACACAAAATAAAGACCCCCCCACCCCCGTATAGTCTTAACAGAATGTTGGGGCAAGTGCTGCGAGCGAGCACTTACGAAGGTCGGCTCGGCACACGAGAGGCTGGGTAGCCAGCACCACGCCTGGTCACCTTTGTCTCCCGAGTGGCGATATTAACACATCACCCATTTGGGGTTGAGTCGACCTAGGGGAGGCCCGGGACCGGTTCAGATATTCGCCTCGTTAAATTTTGTCGCGAGCCCCGAATCGAACTCGGGTCGCCCGGTTCGTAGCGCAGCGCGCTAACGCTGCACCACCGCTCCCACACACACACTCACACACTCCCCAATGCTGACGTGCCCACCACACACACGCGCGCGCGCGCGCACTCTCGCTCGCTCGCTTGTCGCCCTTATTAAAACAAAATAACGCGAATGCATCAGGCTCGGGGCGTGTAAATGTCACGGAATAAATGCATGTGTTAATGTTGCACCCGCCGCGACTAAAAATAACTCCTCGTGCATGCCCCCCCCCCCGCTCCCCACCGCCGCCTCGTCCTCTTCCAGCCTCCCACCTCCTCATTATCATCGTCAAGGAGCGTAAACCATCATCGTCGTCATCACGCGACCTCCCGTCGTCATCGCAGCAGCAGCAACGGCCCTTTGGCTCAGCCGTCGGACAAAGACGGCTTCGCTGAATCGCGCGCTTTCAGATGAGCTTCTTCGGCCGCCTGCAACGCTCGTCACCTCCGACATCAGGGAGCCACTGGGAGATACGCACTTTGAAATCCTCGAGATTGAAAACTCCTTTTTTTTTACAACTATTTTTGTGTGTTTAGTTTGTTGTCTTTCCCCCACACCTCCGATTAGCACGGTTGGCTACGTACGGTGCGAAAGAAGGTCAACATGCATTCTTAATACTTCCACGAGAGCGGTCGTGTAGCGATTAGCGCGCTGCGCTACGAATCCGGCGACCCGAGGTGGATTCTTGCTCACGGCCAACACCGGTGACAATGATCTGAACCGGCCCTTGGTCTCCCCCTAGGTCGACTCAGCCTCAAATGAGTACCTGGTGCAGTGTGTTAAATATCGCCACTCGGGAGACCAGGGCGACCGGGCATGGCCCTGACAACCCTCGTGTGCCGTGCCGGCCTTCATAGGTGCTCGCTAACAGCACTTGCCCCTTCAGTCTGTTAAGGCTACATGGGGGAACTTTGTCTTTGTTGTGGATTAAATCCATCTGTGCGGAGCTGTCTCTGGGTTCTCCAGTTCCCACCCGAACCAAGTCACTCGTTAACGGGACCATAACATTCCCATCCTTCTGAGAGCGAGTCTTGAGACTCATTGCCGCTGTCCTGTAAGGCAATTAAAGGCATTATTGTTGTGGTAATTACGTATTTTATTTGGTAGTAGGAGGGGTTAATGTTGGGGAAGAGGCGGTGTTTAATTAAGGTCCACACTCAAAATACGCGGCATTAAAAACTCATTTGATACGACCCACCCTCCCCTCGAGACACGCACACACACGCATTATGCGAGCCGTGTAAAATTACGGTTATATGAATACATAAATACATAACACTGGTAATTGTCCCTCCACGTCATCATCATCAGCTATGGCCAATCCACTGATGGATGAAGTTCCTCCGCCCAAGCGACTTAGACAACACTGTGTTTGTCCCGTCACACACAAACACAGAAATAGGCAAAGAGCCCACCGTGCAGAATGTAGGGGCAAGTGCTGTTAGCGAGCACCTATAAAGGCCGGCACGGCACACGAGGGGTGGCTGGCTAGCACCACGCCCGGTCGCCTTTGTCTCCCAGTGGCGATGTTACTACACCACCACACCAGGTACTCATTTGAGGCTGAGGTCGACCGAGGGAGGCCCAGGTTCGTTTCAGATAATCTGCCACTGGTGTTGGCAGTGAGCGGGAATCGAACTTGAGTAACCAGGTTCGTAGCGAAGCGCGTTTACCGCTACACTACCAAACAAACAAAGCAAATACAAAGCTCCCCCGTATAGAACATAACAGACTATAGAGGCAAGTGCTGTTAGCTAGCACCTATGAAGGCCGGCACGGCACACGAGGGAGGTGGGTGGACAACACCACGCCCGGCCGCCTTTGTCTCCCCAGTGGCGATGTTTACACACCGCACCAGGTACTAATTTGAAGCTGAGTCAACCTAGGGGAGGCCAAGGACCGGTTCAGATAATCGTCACTGATTTTGGCCGCACTATACCACACACACTCTCTACATATTAACTCTGAGTCTGCCTCATTTGATTTCCCATTGTATCAGCAAAAAAACTTTTAAAATTCACCTGCGCCCACCCACCCCCTCTCTCACCAACACACGCAAGCCCACGCGCTCATCCAGCCGAGAAAGAGAGAGAGAGAACTCGACGCCAGGGCAATCGTCCTCTCGGCGCGAGCTACTGACAGGAAGACAAAGGCGGCAGGGGGAGTCGCTGCTGTACCTGCGGCAGGTGGCGCAGAGGGCGAGAGAGGCGGCGAGCAGGGCGAGCAGCGAGGCCGGCAGCAGCAGCGCCCAGCCGCTCAAGGGCGGTCCGGGCCCCTCAGCCGGGGGGGCCATGCGGCACGGCGAGGTCGTCGACGATCCGCGCTCGTACCAAAGGTAAAGCCACAGAGGCTACTACCCCCACCAACACCCTCACCACCACCCACCCCACGTGTGGCCTCAACACACGTGCTCACGCGACACACCGAGACACGCAAACAAAGGCGAAGAATCCCCCCTTCCCCAGCCTTTAACAGACTGTCGGGATAAGTGCTGTTTGCGAGCACCTATGAAGGCCGGCACGGCACACGAGGAGACACCACAACACACACACACTGACACACACGCACTGACACACACACACTGACACACACACACAGACCGAGACACACAACACACACAGATCAAGACACGTAACAAACACACACGCACTGAGCCACAGACCGAGACACACACTGACACACACACTGACACGCACACACACACACAGACCGAGACACACAACACACAGATCAAGACACGTAACAATCACACACGCACTGAGCCACAGACCGAGACACCACACTGACACACACACACTGACACACACACAGACCGAGACACACAACACACACAGATCAAGACACGTAACAACACACACGCACTGAGCCACAGACCGAGACACACACACTGACACACACTGACACGCACACACACACAGACCGAGACACACAACACACACAGATCAAGACACGTAACAATCACACACGCACTGAGCCACAGACCGAGACACACACACTGACACACACACACTGACACACACAGACCGAGACACACAACACACACAGATCAAGACACGTAACAATCACACACGCACTGAGCCACAGACCGAGACACACACTGACACACACACACTGACACACACACACAGACCGAGACACACAACACACACAGATCAAGACACGTAACAATCACACACGCACTGAGCCACAGACCGAGACACACACACTGACACACACACTGACACGCACACACACACACAGACCGAGACACACAACACACACAGATCAAGACACGTAACAATCACACACGCACTGAGCCACAGACCGAGACACACACACTGACACACACACACACTGACACACACACACAGACCGAGACACAACACACACAGATCAAGACACGTAACAACACACACGCACTGAGCCACAGACCGAGACACACACACTGACACACACACTGACACGCACACACACACACAGACCGAGACACACAACACACACAGATCAAGACACGTAACAATCACACACGCACTGAGCCACAGACCGAGACACACACACTGACACACACACACTGACACACACACACAGACCGAGACACACAACACACACAGATCAAGACACGTAACAAACACACACGCACTGAGCCACAGACCGAGACACACACACTGACACACACACACACTGACACACACACACAGACCGAGACACACAACACACACAGATCAAGACACGTAACACACACGCACTGAGCCACAGACCGAGACACACACACTGACACACACACTGACACGCACACACAGACCGAGACACACAACACACAGATCAAGACACGTAACAAACACACACGCACTGAGCCACAGACCGAGACACACACACTGACACACACACTGACACACACACACAGACCGAGAACACACACACACAGATCAAGACACGTAACAAACACACACGCACTGAGCCACAGACCGAGACACACACACTGACACACACACACTGACACACACACACAGACCGAGACACACAACACACACAGATCAAGACACGTAACAATCACACGCACTGAGCCACAGACCGAGACACACACTGACACACACACACACTGACACACACAAACAGACCGAGCACACAAACACACAGATCAAGACACGTAACAATCACACACGCACTGAGCCACAGACCGAGACACACACTGACACACACACACACTGACACGCACACAGGTAAGGAAGGAGCCAACCCACCCCCCTGTACCTTATCGGCCGCTCATTGCTCGCCACAATGCAGGTGGCGCACGTCACGATTGGCTGCGTCGTGTTGTCGACTGCAGGAGATGTAAGATCGCGTGTAGGTGTGTGACACACACACTCGCGCGTAGGTGTGTGACACACACACACTCGCGCGTAGGTGTGTGACACACACACACTCGCGCGTAGGTGTGTGACACACACACACTCGCGTGTAGGTGTGTGACACACACACACACTCGCGTGTAGGTGTGTGACACACCACACTCGCGCGTAGGTGTGTGACACACACACACACTCGCGCGTAGGTGTGTGACACACACACACACTCGCGCGTAGGTGTGTGACACACCACACTCGCGTGTAGGGTGTGACACACACACACACTCGCGCGTAGGTGTGTGACACACACACACTCGCGTGTAGGTGTGTGACACACACACACACTCGCGCGTAGGTGTGTGACACACACACACACTTGCGTGTAGTGTGTGACACACACACACTCGCGCGTAGTGTGTGACACACACACACACTCGCGCGTAGGTGTGTGACACACACACACACTCGCGTGTAGGTGTGTGACACACACCACACACTCGCGCGTAGGTGTGTGACACACAACACACACTCGCGCGTAGGTGTGTGACACACACACACTCGCGTGTAGGTGTGTGACACACACACACACACTTGCGCGTAGGTGTGTGACACACACACACACACTCGCGCGTAGGTGTGTGACACACACACACACTCGCGTGTAGGTGTGTGACACACACACACACTCGCGCGTAGGTGTGTGACACACACACACTCGCGCGTAGGTGTGTGACACACACACACTCGCGCGTAGGTGTGTGACACACACACACTCGCGTGTAGGTGTGTGACACACACACCACTCGCGCGCGTGCACCTAAGTCATCATCATCGTCACTAAATATAAAACAGCCCGTGATAACCTGGCCCCCGGACTTGCTGCCAGTGAGTTTTCGACGCATTTACGTGGCCTCAAAGTCCGCGTGATGAGCTTCTCTCGCGCCGTACGTAGCCAACCTTGCTCATAGGAGGTGCGCGCAAGTGCACCTAGCCTGGCACCAAGCGCCGACGGCTGTGTGTCCCTATGTGTGTGTCGTCATTATGATATGTGTGTGTCGTCATGATGATATGTGTGGTGTCGTCATGATGATATGTGTGTGTCGTCATGATATTGTGTGTGTCGTCATGATATATGATATGTGTGTGTGTCGTCATGATTTGTGTGTGTGTCGTCATGATATGTGTGTGTGTCGTCATGATATCTGGTGTCGTCATGATATGTGTGTGTCGTCATGATATGTGTGTGTCGTCATGATATCTGTTTGTGTCGTCATGATATGTGTGTGTCGTCATGATATGTGTGTGTGTCGTCATCATGATATGGTGTGTGTGTCATGATATGTGTGTGTCGTCATGATATGTGTGTGTGTCGTCATGATATGTGTGTGTTGTCATGATATCTGTTTGTGTCGTCATTATATGTGTGTGTGTTGTCATGATATCTGTTTGTGTCGTCATTATGTGTGTGTGTCGTCATGATATGTGCGTGTCGTCATGATATGTGTGTGTCGTCATGATATGTGTGTGTGTGTCGTCATCATGATATGTGTGTGTTGTCCAGTCCCTCCAGAAAAACGCGGAGTTTTTTGGTGATTGTTGCGGGCAAAATCGTTGATTATGCGGCACGTTTTCTTAAAAAATGCGATGGAATATGCGGGATTTATGCAATTTTATGCGATAAAATTGCGGGAACTTGCAAAAATTGCGGTTTGATGAAAAAGAGAAAAAAAAGTGATTCCCCCAACACCCTATTCACTAGGCTACTACTTTAATGTAAAGAGTCATTTCTTATTACTTCCTATGATAAGCAAGCATACTACATCACAGAAAGTGCTGGGAATATTTAAGTTCTCATCTTGTTTTATTTCAGACCTTAACAAACAGATGGCTCAAACTTACAGAACATTGAGTCGAACAAGTTCTGTAGCTTACAAAATGAATATGCTACAACTTCTGTAAAAATTAATAAATAAAATATTAAAAATAAAATGTGTGCTTCCTGTTTTACAGAGGTAGCTATAAAAAACAGACATCTTCTGTTAAAATAAGTGTTTTTTCAGTGCACAGTAACGTAAGCAATACAGTAACAGTACAGTCTTACAGTAATGTAAATGTACTATACTAACAAAAAAGTGCAATCTTACAACTGTAATGAGTGACGTCACTTCATAACGTTCCCATGGCAACAGGGGAAATGGCTGCGCTTGTGTGAAGTAAACGCAACATTTTTCAACTTTTGCTAAGCTATATGTGACTTTTTGCAACGAAAATGCGGGGATTATGAAATCATGCAAGCCCGCATATTTTGCGCGCGGAAATCTGCAATTTATGCGGCGAAAGTGCGGCGTATTTGAAAAAACGCGCCCCCCGCATAAATATGCAGACTTTGGCTGATTTTGCGTGGAATCTTGCGATCGCATAATCGCGTTTTTCTGGAGGGACTGGTTGTCATGATATCTGTTTGTGTCGTCATTATATGTGTGTGTGTGTCGTCATGATATATGTGTCGTCATGATATGTGTGTGGCGTCATGATATCGTGTGTGACGTCATGATGTGTGTGTGACGTCATGATATCTGTTCGTGTCGTCATGATATCTGTTTGTGTCGTCATGATATGGGGAGCGGTAGTGCAGTGACTGGTTAGCGCCCTGCGCTACGATCCCGGTTCGATCCCCAGCTCACGGCCACCACTAACCCCAGCGAAGATTATCTGAACCAGCCCGTACCGCCCCTAGCTCAACTCAGCCTCAAATCAGTACCTTGTGCCCTTGTGTAAACATCACTACAGGGGAGACAAAGGCGGCCGGTTGTAGTGCTCGCCACCCACCCTTTCAGTGTGCCGCGCCGTGCCGGCCTTAATAGATGCTCGCTAACAGCACTTTTAAGGCTGTACAGAGGATATGTGTTTGTTGTGCAATAACGATAATAATAACAGCACTTAAACCCGGCAGACTGTAAACGTCTCTCTCTACAAGGTATCTTTGTATTTGCACGCTTGCCCGCGAGACACGGTGTGGAGGAGAGCCGTAGTGCGAAGGTTATCGCGCGCGGCGCCACAATTCCCACTACCAAAGTTCAGTTCCGTCCAAGCATCTGCGCGGTTGCGGCGGCGTGTACACATCAGCAGCACTGGGGAGACAAAGGCGGTCGGGCGTGGTACTAGCCAGGACAAACCCGTGTGCGCCTCCGCGCTTTGCCGCAGAACATTCCATAGCGGATACACGGGGAGATTGTGTGCCGTGTGTGTGAACGGTGTGGGGTGCATCTACAGTCGTCTCAGTCAGCCAACCAGTAGCACCTGGGTCTGTCCCGAGACCTCCCTGTCAGCGAGCCCTCGACATCCACGTGGCCTCAAAGTTGCATCTGGCTGGGCACAGGCGCCGTGGTGAC